ACCATGGTCTCGGGGAACATCCAGCTCAATTGGCATAACATAGTTTATAAAGAAAATGCTCTACGTTCTACTTTGGTGAGTAGCGTCTGGGGTCTTAAAAGCTTATGAGCAGCCATCTAAGATACTCCACTGGTCTTACCCTGTCAGGAGCAAGGGAGAATGAAGAAAACCAAAGACACAAGGTAAAAATTAGTCCAAAAGACTAATGGACCACAACTACCATGGCCTCCACCAGACTGAGCCCAGCACAACTAGATGGTGCCCAGCTACCACCACTGACTGCTCTGATAGGGATCACAACAGGGAGTCCCAGACAGAGCTGGAGAAAAATGTAGAACAAAATTCTAACTCATAAAAAAAGACCAGACTTACTGGCCTGACAGAGACTGGAGAATATGGCCCCCGGACATCCTTTTAGCTCAGTAATGAAGTCACTCCCGAGGTTCACCCTTCAACCAAAGATTAGACAGGCCTATAAAACAAAATGAGACTAAAGGGGCATACCATCCCAGGAGCAAGGACTAGAAGCAGGAGGGGACAGGAAATCTGGTGATTGGGAACCCAAAGTTGAGAAGGAAGAGTGTTGACATGTTGTGGGGTTGGTAATCAAAGTCACAAAACAATATGCATACTAACTGTTTAATGAGAAGTTAGTTTGTTCTGTAAACCTTCATCTAAAGTACAATTAAAAAAAAAAGAAAGAAAGAAAATGATGTATTGCATTGGACAGATCTGCTGCAAAAGACCTCTTCAAGGTTTTTAAAAGTAAAGATGTCACTTAGATTACTAATGTATGCCTGACCCAAGCCATGGTCCTTTTAGTCATCTCATATACAAACAAAAGCTGAACAATGAAAAAGGAAGACTGAAGAATTGATGCATTCAAATTGTGGTGTTGGAGAAGAATACTGAATATACCGTGGACTGCCAGAAGAATGAACAAGTCAGTTTTAGAAGATATACAACCAGAATGCTCCTTAGAAGTAAGGATGGCAAGACTTAGATTCGCAAACTTTGGACATGTCATCAGGAAAGACTGATAGAAAAGGACATCATGTTTGGTAAAGCCAGCAAAAATGAGGGAACCCATCAATGAGATGAACTGACACAATAACCATAACAGTGGACTCAAACATACCAATGATCATGAGGATGGCAAAGGACCAGGCAACATTTTCTTCTGTTATGCATAAAGGTCACCAAGAGTTGGACCTAACTCAAGGGCAGCTAACAACAGCAACTCCATGATGGAAGGATTTAATGTAATCAACATGACACCAGGTGGATGGCTGGTATCCCTTGGGGAATAGTGTGATATTGCGGGCTCAGTATTGGCCTCTGCTTTTAGCAGATTAGGGCTCAACAGTAGAAGTAGCCAGGTCAGCGTTGGTGAAGGGAAGTTCAAGCATAGCCTCCATCGCTGACCCCATGGCCATGCCACTTCGTATGTGAATCCATTGAACAAGCAGCAGGGTGGCCCAGAAAGAGGCTGATATCCACAGAACATATCATTTTGTTCATCTGATTATTGGGAGCACCTTGGGAGTAGATGTTCTTTGGTAGATATTCATACACTACACAAAAAATATTATTGAAAATACATGGAAAAAAGTTTACCTTAAAACAGTCTTGATCATGTTAGCAAATCTCTCTCTAAATATATTGTTTCTCATGAAATACACACAGTCTCTTGATAGGAACCTACTATTTTGATATCCTAAGCCAGGATCTGGAAATTTTACTCCTGTTTCTGATACCATCTACCCAGCCAGTTTTTCACCTTCAATATCCTCCTTCCTTATCTGAAGTCAACAACTTTCAGTTGGAAAAGAAAAGAAAATACTTTTGTTGCCCTCACACCATTCATATTTCTACCTAAGAGTTCAAAGCACTATGATACACTGCAAGTTTCTCTGGTAATATTATTTACTCCCATATTAACAGAATTAAAGAATTCCTTGATCAGAAGCAATGTTGTGCCCAATATCATGACAGAATTGGGAAGTGATCTATGTTTTTAAAGTCTTGGCAGAAGATTTACCGAAAAGATATTTCACTTTTAAATCTGCATTTAAGAAAAATTTTACACCTCCTGATTAGACATAACCTCTCTATATACAACCACCTCCCTGAGGGTAAAGGGGATTTTTCAGTAGTATTAGCTAAGGTCTGTGAATTCTCCTTACTCTTTTCTGGAGCCCACCATTTTGCTTCATTTTGAAAGGTCTGCACTACACTTTGGCTATAGTAGTGAAATCTCTTTCCTTTTTTGTTCCATGCCATTCCCCCACTATTTGGTGTCTTACCACTTGCTTCTATTTCTTTTTCTTTTTCCTTCTGGCTTCTTTGAAAGTATTTATGGACCTTTTATTTCTCTCTAACAAAAGCAGTCCTCTTGTAGCCCCATAAACACGGAAGCCAGGGGGAATAAGTGCTACCAGTCTGGGCAGGGGGAGCTGACCACACACATCCTACAGACGAAGAACAGCTAACACAGGTCCCAGCCACTTCAACTTCAGAACAAGCTGCGTAGTCCTTTGGAAACAAGAAACCAACTCCCTACGACCATCGCGTTAGAGCAGATGGTATTTTGTGACTAACCATATTTCCTCCAGTTTGACTTCTGTTTGTTTTTCATGCATTGCTCAATCTTCCAGGGATTCTTCTCTCCCCTCTTTCTTCCTGAGATAGTGTCTGGGTGGAAGAAAACACTTGTGGTCTTAGGAGAGGTATTTCCTGTCCACATGCTTCCCTGGAATCTTTCTTGTATCTAGTACCTGACAGGTGAGCTTTGTGAAAGTTCACTCACCAAAGTCAAGGCCAGGTCATTGGCTGTGTCAGGGTTCTCCAGAGAAACAGAACCAGTAAGAGATAGATAGAGATATAAGCATAGAGACAGAGATATAGTCTCTCCCTCTCTCTCTCCTCTCTCTTCTCCCTCTCCCTCTCTTTTCCTCCCTCCTCCCTCCCCCTTCTTCCCTCCCTCCCTTTCTTTACTTCAAAGAATTGGCTTATGTGATTGTGGGGTCTGACGAGTCTGAAACCTACAGGTAGGCAGCAGGCTGGAAACTCAGGCGGGATTTCTGTTACCATCTTGAGGCAAAATTCCTTCTTCTCCAGGAAACCTGTTTTTGCACTTAAGGCCTTCAACTGATTGGATGAGGCCCACCCACATTATCAAGGATACCGTATTTTTGTAAATAATATGCCCACACATATAACGCTCATGTACCTAGGAAAATCACGCATGAGGGGGTTGCATGGTTGGCAAAAAACATGTAACTCGCTTGTTATTTTCGTAAAATACAGTAATTTCCTTTACTTAGAGTCAACTGACTCCATCTACAGTCACATCTACAAAATACCTTTGCAGCAACATCCAGACTAGTGTTTGACCAAACAACTGGGCACCACAGCCTAGACAAGTTGACACACAGAATTAGCCATCACATTGGCCTTTGCAAATTCAAGGCTTATCTGTCACTGCCATTGGGGCGCAGCTTAGGTGATGTGCCCCAGAGCCTCCAACGCAGGGCCACTTGGCCCCCACTGAGGGAACAGCCCCACCTGCTCCCTCAGTGAGCTCTCCAGACGCATCTTTAGCTCTCTTCCAGAGCCTCCAAGAGTGCGAATGGAGCATCAGGCCCCAGGGGACCAGGGTGTAATCTAGGTGCCCTGCCTAAGCACCTCCTGCAGTCCATCCAGTCAGGTGAGAGTGGCTGCATGCTGACCCCAAGGCTCCTGCCCCCACCCACCACACACCCCTCCAAAGGTCAGTCTGAGGGCCAAGGGGGGCAGAGGATACTTACTTACCTCTGGTATTTCCTCCCCACCCACTGCACCCCACAGATGCTTTCCTTTCCTCCCCTTGCATTCAAACCTTCCCCCTGCCCTGAGCCATGCCTCCCACTTTCTCTAAGGAAATAAGTTTTAACTTCATGGCCTGCTCTTGATGGCAGAAGGGCTTCAGAGGGTGAAAAACTAATTACTCAGAAAGGAAAATACAGTGGGAAATATTTCCTAAATATTGTCCCCACTACAGTTGTTCAAAGGCTGGCTTCATTCCAGATTCTTTTTCCCTCCTGATCCATTTCCAGATTTGGAAAGATTCCAAAAGTCAGTTTCAGAGCACTCTTCTCCAAAGAGCTAGGACATTTTGTCATTATACTGACAACATGCATTTCTGCCAGGGACAACACGTGTATATTAAGTTTCTTACTATTGCCAGCAGCACACATATATGACATTTTAAATATTTGGATTACATTCTTCTAAGTTTCCATTTCTTTCTTTCTATATTCATTAGAAGTTAAACACCTCGAATCCAGGAGCCTTATCTCCCAAGTGTGTTTTTCCCCTTCACATAAATGGCACAACACAAATACGTTGCTTGCTTGACTCTTCTCAGTAAACAATTGTGCCCATTTTCTCCTTTCTTCCTAAGCAAATTCCTACACGATAAATCCCTACACGATCCTTAATACCACAACAACGACAACTGCCAGTTGCCATCAAGTCAATTCCAACTCATGGTGACCCCACGTGTGTCAGAGTAGAACTGTGCTCCATGGGGTTTTCAATGACTGATTTTTCAGGAGTAGATTGCCAGGCCTTTCATCTGAGGTGTCTCTAGGCAGACTCAAACCACTAACCTTTTGATTAGCAGCCAAGCACTTTAACCGTTTGCAACACCCAGAGACTCCTCTAATATCACCGTCATCCATATTTGGAAGAAATGTTTTTATTTTCTGTACAATCACACTTAACATGGCCCCTCTTTGACTGACTTTTTCCACAGCGATCACTTCATTTCAAATATTAAAGAGACACTAACTTGTTATAATATGCGGATGTGTGTGATTTTTTCCCCAAACTCTCAAATTCAGACGAACTTTTACCTCTTTTTTCTGGTGTAAACATTATAAGGCTATTATTCTTTTGCATAAACTTCTGTGGTGACTAGCAAAAAAAGTAACAAGGAAATAGAGCTGGACACTTACCTTAAGTTCATTGGTGTCAGCAAGCTTGGCTTTGAGCTCGGTGTTCGATTCTCGACACGCACTCAGCTCCTTCTGCAGCCTCTCCACCTTCTTCTCCAACTTCCTGCCGGCGAGAGTGGCCTCATCCCTCTCCACTGCCAAGGCCGTGCGCGCCTGCTTCTCCCCCTGCAGCTGGGCTATTTTCTGCCGGAGGAGGCTCATGTGCAGTTCTTTGCTCTCCAGCCGTTCTTTCTGAGTCTTTAGCTGGTTTCACAGAAACAGGGAGGTTTTTTTTTTGTTTGTTTGTTTGTTTAAATAATTGAACAGTCAGTAAATATAAATGAATTGCCCAGATAAAGTTGATCTTTATCTGCATTTCAATAAGACTAATTTGTAAACCACCAAAAGAGGTTATTAGATTCCTTTTCCTGATTGCATTTTTTATGCATATTTTCTCCAAGAATTAATTTTATAGCTGCAAAATATGGGACAAGGGAGCCTGTGTGCAAAGGGGTAGGCTTTCAACCTCTAATTCTCTCCAACATTATGTGTATCATAATAAAAATGTGAAATTACTTTTCAAACCACTGAAACGGGTTTATCAAGAGCAGAATATAATAAGGCACAGAGATACAAAAATCCTCTCCAACACCCAATGGCAACTATGCCCGCACTGCTCTTTTCTGAAAGAAGATAGAGTGTAAATGAAGGCTACAAACCAAGACTGACAAATTTCAATCACTTGAAGACTGGGCCGAGTAACACCAAGCGTTGATGAGAGCTGATATATTTTTAAGGTAAGGTACACCAAAGAGATTGCTAAGAAAACTTTGCTTGCATATTTAAAATCTTAGGGGTAGAAGGGACTTTACGAAGTTTGGGGTTCATTGATGCCTTTGTCATATGCCTGGCCTATAAGCTCCACACAAATCAAGCAGAAAACAAGGTCTTCAAAAACCACTTATCACTGGTGATCAAACTTGATGAAGGAAATTATAATGAATTTTAGAAAAAGATCATGGATGCTAAGAGGGGGAAAAAAATCCTTCCGGGTTTTACATGTCACAATTAGTGAGTGGAATATTAACTTCCCGTAAAACCAAACCTGTTGCCATCGCGTCGATTCCGACTCATAGTCATAATGACCCTAGAAGACAAAGTAGAACTGCCCCAAAGAGTTTCCAAGGAGTGCCTGGTGGATTTGAACTGCTGATCTTTTGGTTAGCAGCCGTAGCTCTTAACCACTAAACCACCAGCATTTCCAATATTAAGTACAGAAACCTCTTTCATCTATTAGAAACATTGGGAATCAGAATCATGTAGAATTAGAGAATTTGAGAGCAGAAGAGCATCACATTTTCCCTAATTATATACTCTACACTTGTAAAGTGTTATTAGGAGGTGTGAAGGACTTACAAAATGCAGGTTCCAGTATCTTGCCAAACAGTGATAGCTTTGTCTATGCCACAGATCACTTTCCAAATATTAAAGGCCCTTTTAATATTTCTCTAACTAAACTCCTGTTATAGATCGAATTGTGTCCCCCAAAAAGACATGTTGGAGTCCTAATCCCTGTACCTGTGAATGTGGCCTTGTTAGGAAATAAGATTTTCCTTTTGTTATCAGTTAAGTTAATCAAGGTCATATAAGAGCAGAGTGGGTCCTAAACCTAATCCCTTCTGAGTGGTGACTTATAAAACGGGGAAACAGACATGGAAAGACACACATGCTGTGATGGTTAAGATTGTGTGTCTACTTGGCTGGGCCATAATTCTCACTGTTTTGGCAGTTGTATAATGTTGTGATCACTTCCCTGTTGAGATTCGATATGTGATCACCCCCATGATGGGATCTGCTGTGAGTAACCAATCAGTTGAAAGGGAGTTTCCTTGAGTGGGTGGCCTGCATCAAATATAAGTGGACATTCTGGCAAGGCTTAGGGGCTTTTTGCTTGTGCTGGATCCTGCAGCTGGCTCCTGTTCATCTGACGTCTGGTTCTTGGGACTTGAGCTAGCAGCTTACCTGTGGTCTTGCCTGCCGATCTTGGGATCCATCAATCTTCGAAGGCTGTGAGCAAGAGCCCTGCTCTCTGACCTGCCAATCTTGGGTTCATCAGCCCCTGAAGCTGTGTTAATCAGGAGACGCCTCTATCCTTACCCACAGACTTGGGACATTCCAGTCTCTACAACTGCGTGATCCATTTCCTTGATATCAATCTCTCTCTCTCTATATATATATATATATATTTATTTATTTATTTATTTATATTTATATGCTTTACTGGTTTTGCTTCTCTAGAGAACCCAGCCTAAGATATACACACAGGGGAAGATGCCACAGATGCATCTATAAGCAGCAAAGGAATGCCAAGGATTGTCAGCAGGCACCAGAACCTAGCAGAGAGGCCCACAGAAGAAATCGATAAGGCTGAGACTGATTTGAATTTTAGCCCCCAGAGCTGTGAGAAAATAAATTTTTCTTTTTTTAGGCCACCTACTTTAAAGAACTAGGCAGTGCTAGGAAACTAAGACAATTCTCTTCCTTGAGCTCCTTCATGTCAAATTCCACTCCATTGCATATCTACACTGGTAAGTTCTTACACTAGCAATTTTAATAATTATATAAGACTTAAGAAGGAATGGTATTGGATATTGAGAAAGAAAATAAATTATCTGAGAACTTTGAAAAGAATTGTATCTCAGCTAGTTTTCTCTAATGGTAATAGGATTTGTCTGCTTTCTTTCATAAAAATACTCCTAATGATATAGAGAAGAGGAGAAGAGGCCAAATTGAATGGAGCATCTTCTATGAGCCAAGAGTTCAAAAATGTTATTAATCATTAGCTACCCCATGAGTTAGGTCTCATCTCCACCTTAAATATGAGGAAACAGAGACAGAGAGGTATGTAATTTGCCCAAGGTCACATAGCTTGGAAGAGCCAAATTGGAAACCCAGATGTAACTCATTACCCAGCCTCTACACCATCATCCTACCACCAAAATTTCCTATGGACTATTATAAGAACACATCTATGTTTTCCTGTTTCCTTCCCCAATACCAATAATTATATAACTAATTTTTATCCTTTTCATACATTCATTTATTTAGTGTAAACTGTTTCTAACTCTCCCTTTGATTGAGTGAAAAAAAAAAAATTCTCCTCTCTCCACTTTCTAGTGCAATGGAACTTACAAAGGCAGATGGCTAGATGTTACCCAGTTCTCTGCTTCCCCTATAGTAATAGAAACAGTGAACTTTTTAGCTAGGCAAATGGCTACCCAGAATAAAGACTACATTTGCAAGCCTCCCTTGCAGCTAGATTTGGCCATCAGAATGCATTCTGGCTGCGGGCTATAAACACACACAAGTCCATGTAGCAGCTTCCAGGAGCCATCTTTTAAAAGGCAGCTCACACAAGCGTCTTTAAAAGACAGCTCACACATGCTGTTTTGCCACCCTCATCTTTATCCCTCTCTTTTCCATCCTTCTGCCTGGAGCACAGATGTCATGGCTCTAGGCACCATCACAAACCATGAGGATAACGGCCCCCTAGGGATGACAGACTGATGATCTGGAATGAGCTGAGTTCTCTGAGGGCTTTATAGGCAGAGCTACCACACCAACCCTAAGCTGCCTAGCTCCAGAATTTTATATGAAGGGAAAAAATACTTTTACTTCTTTAAGTAACTGTTATTTTGGGTCTCTACTACTCACAGTCAAACGTAATTTTAAGTGGTACACTACCAATCTCTCAGACTTGATATAGAGACTCAAATTCTAAACGCATATTGTTATAGTATGTTCTCTAGCCACACTGGTAAATATGGTGGGGGTATGTTATTGTTCAATATTTGGGATTCTCAGAAATTCCTTCCCTCAACATTAACAAGTTTTAATAGCCCTACCTTTCTCTGTAAATTGTGGGCAATCGTCTTGTTTTCAACGACTGCGTGGCTCTCAAGGCGGACCAGCTGCTCTGTGCGAGCTAAAACTACATCCAGACGCATGTCAAAGCCAAGTTCAGCAGCCATCTGGTCCAACTTCATTTTCTCTGACAGCTGATCCAGAAATTTAAGATACTAAACCCAAGAACAAAAATGAAAATGGGACACAAAAATAAAGTTAATGGGTAATCTCACAGAATCTCTCCCTTTCTCCCAAGCTTACAAGTAGTTCACATTAAACCCACACGGAGCTTGAACCCCAATTTGGTAATATTATTGAACCAGCCAGGCAGCTCCATGCTCTACTCCTTGCTCAAACTCTCTTGGCTGGTCAGTGACCTTGATGCCCAATCTAATATTATACACTCTTTTAACCCTGCTATATAACAAATTTGGCTACACTCCTGATGACATCTGTTTTGGCAACATGCTGCTGCAAGGATGTCCCTCCAAGGCTAATCCAGCCCCTGGAATCCATCTGTCCATATACCTTTCCACGAGGATTTGTCGCACCTCACTGGGCCCTTGCCTCAAAGGTGGAAAATGACAACTAGTTACCACTTTGCTTTTGTTGGGTTATAAACAAAGAAGAATTGCCATCAAGTCAATTCCAACTCAAGGTGACCCCATGTGTGGCAGAGTAGAATTGTGCTCCATAGGGTTTTCAATGGCTGATTTTTCAGAAGTGGATTGCAGGCCTTTCTTTCAAGGCTCCTCTGGGTGGACTTGAATCAACCACTTTTCCATTAGCAGCTGAGAACTTGGCCATTTGTGCCACCCAGAGACTCCAAATCAAAGTTCCTCATACAAACAAATTTGGACTTTCTTTTTTTAATTAAAATGCTTTGGATAATATCTTTATATCTTTTTCCTAAATTTTAGTTTGTTGTTGTTGTTGAGAATATACACAGGAAAACATACACCAATTCAACAGTTTCTAATGCTCAATTCAGTGACATTGATACATTCTTCGAGTTATGCAACCATTCTCATCCTCCTTTTCTGAGACATTTCTCCCTCATTAAACTTACCGCCCCCTAAGGTTCTTATCTAATCTTTCGAATTGCTATTGTCAGTTTGAACCCATAGAGATAGTCCTTAAAAGAGCATAATGCTCAAGGCAGAGCGTTTTTACTAGTTAAGGTAAACTATTGTTCAGTTCTAAGATGACTTCAGGGGATATTTTTTCTTTAAAGTTTTTAATGTATCAGAGTTAAATGAACAACATTCTAAAACAGCTGTATCAAGGGAGTCAAGGTTCACGCGTTAACAGGTTAAAGTTGCAAAACTGTTTTAGCGGTTTTCCTCTGCCGATTTCTTCCTGTGGCTTACCAGGCCACACATATACAACAGATGCTAACTGTCTGCTGGATGAGTAAATCAATCAATGAAATTTCTATGGCATACTTTCATGGTTTGGGTTCCATCTCTGATAATGTTCTCCTCATCCATCTGGCATTTGCTGGCAATTAAATGTTTAAAATAAGTATAATTTCCTGGTGACTGAAGCATATCAGCTTAAAGCCCAGAACTATCTATCTTTTAATTATCAGGATGAAATTAGGTGCTTATTTTCCAATTTTCTTAAATAGCATAAATAGAAATATAACTCAATCTCTTCCTTATGGGTCATAACCATTACAAACATCACTTATTGTACTCTGCTGCGATGCCATAGGTTGCTTTTGTTTCTTCATCACCAGATTCTCACTTCTCATTGCTGTATCAGCTCTCCCTCTGGGATTTTTATTTTCTAATCTGTGTGTATAACTGCTATTGTTTGCATAGGCAGTCCCCGGGTTACGAACGAGATCCTAAGTGTGTCTTTAAGTCGAATTCATAGGTTTAAGTCAGAGCAGGTGCATATCGTTCTTATTTAGCCTTACTTTAGCGCAAGAGAAGGACCCCTGGTGGCACAGCGGTTAAAGCATTCAGCTGCTAACTGAAAAGTCGGCAGTTTGAACCCACCAGCTGCTCTACTTCCATAAAGACTTACAGCCTTGGAAACCCTATGGGGCAGTTCTACTCTGTCCTATAGGGTCACTAAGAGCAGGACTCAACAGCAGTGGGTTTTGGTTTGGTTTTAGTGCACAAAAATGCTTGAAGCCTTTTCAATGATTTAAAAGCTGCACATGCAGCAAGTGAAGGTGACTGTAATGAAGACTTTGTTGTGAGTAGGGCTTGGTTCAATTGTTTCAAAGTGAAGGCAAATTTACATAACATGAAAGGGCAAGTATGAACTGTCTGTAAGTTGGGCATTTGTAACCCAGGGACTTACTATATGCTAAATAAAATAAGAGTTGGTACCTTTTATGTGAAGGTATGAAAGCCTCTTTTTTTTTTTTTTTTTGATTTCTACATGTGACCCATCCATGTAACATGCAAGGATCTATAAGAGAATCAAGAGGATTATGATAGGACCAAGCTAGACCCCACTCTAGCTGAATTTCTCAACAGAGGAAGTACTTTGGCTATGCCCCAGGGGGTTGTTTGCTAGAAACTTTAACTTCATAGAAATGAAGTATAACTATATATTTTGTGCATTTGAATCATAGTTTAGCATGGACAAGAAACTGACTTGGATTTTTGGTTTGGTAAGAAACTGTATTCTACACTATTTTGTGTAAACCTCAATTATCTACATCCCTAGGTGGTGCAAATGATTTGTACTTGACTGCAGTTCAAACCCACTCAGTAGTACCATGGAAGAAAATGCCTGGCAATCTACTTCCGTAAACATTCCAGCCAAGAAAACCCTATGGAGCAGTTCTGCTCTGTAACACATGGGGTTGTCACCATGAGTTAGAACTGACTCAGTGGCAACCAACAACAACAGCATTTAAAGTCTATATAACATTGGTTTTCAATTGTACATGCATACTGCCATTACTAGGCCATGCATTTCTTAGGCAGTTATCTATGAGAAATTCATCAAGCACAGAATCAGTTTACATAATTTGCTTTCATAACAGAGTAATTTTGGCATAATCCCAATTAAAATGAAACAGTCACATTCATATAATGCAGGCACGGTGTTTACTTGTTTATTTTATTTTTTTAAGTACAGAAGAATGAAAATGAGTAAGTTTCTGGAGTATAGATTTTTTAACCCACGAGTATTTTTCCTGGCCAAATTCTATACCTATGTGCTTGATGCCATTTTTCTCCCTTTCCGTTTCTACCCTCCCCTCTACAGATTCCTGCAGCCAACAAACACTTCTCTTCTGTCTTGTCCAACAAAACCTTTCTTTGATCTCTTTTTTCACAGCTACTGACTCATCTCTCTTTTCTACTTGGTCACTAAACTTCACAGTACCAAAATATATATATATATAGCCATCAAGTCAATTCCAACTCATAGTGACCCTATAGGACAAAGTAGAACTGTCCCATAGGGTTTCCAAGGAACAGCTGGTGGATCTGAACTGCTAACCTCTTGGTTTGCAGCCAAGTTTTTAACTACTGTGCCACCAGGGCCTCACAGTAGTCTGTGCTTAATTCCATACTTAATTCTCTACCCCTTCCCTCTCTAGTCACCCCTCAGTCCAATGCAAACTAGCTTCTCTTCTCCATCCACTCCACTAAAACTGCCTCTCTGAGGTCACCCATTGTCACGTCATGAGTCTGGACCCCTTCTACTCCTTCTCTCCCACTGGGTTATAGTCACCATCATTTGTGATTCTCTTCACATTGCAAACTCAAGCCCTCGGTGACATTGAAATTATCTTTCTAAAATATTATGATGCTTCAGTTTGGCATTACAAAGCTTATTAAGAAAATGTCCTGCATCCTACTTTGGTGAATGGCGTCTGGGGTCTTAAAAGCTTGCAAGCAGCCATCTAAGATGCATCAATTGTCCCATCCACTTGGAGTAAAGAAGAATGAAGAACACTAAAGACACAAGGAAAGTATTAGCCCAAGAGACAGAATGGACCACATAAACCAGAGGCTTCATCAGCCTGAGACCAGAAGAACTAGATGGTGCCCAGCTACCACCAATGAACATCCTGACAGGGAACACAACAGAGGGTCCCTGATGGAACAGAAGGATGGGGTGCAGAACTCAAATTCTAGTAAGAAGACCAGACTTAATGGTCTGACTGAGACTGGACACGACTCGGAAAGCATGGCCCCTGGACTCTCTATCAGCCCAGAACTAAAACAATTTCCAAAGCCAACTCTTCAGACAGGGATTGCACTGGACTGTGGGACAAAAAGTTATACTCGTGAAGAGTGTGCCTCTTAGTCAAGCAGATACAAGAGACCAAAGGGGCATGGGAAGGCAGAGAGAGTTAGGAGCTAGTTAAATGGTCATGGGGAATCAGGGGTGGAAAGGAGGAGTATGCTATCACAGAATGGGGTGAGCAATTAGGGTCTTATAGCAATGTATGTATAAAAATTTTGTATGGGAGACTAACTTGAAATGTAAACGTCATTTAATTACAACAATAAAAAAATTTAAAAAATGTGATGCTCTAAATCATTTATTAAACTTCATATTCTACAGAACAAAGGGTACTCAATCATCATAATCCAGCCCCAGCTTGCTCTTCAGCCTTCTCTCCTGCCTTAGCCCCACCAAGAATACCATCCCCCAGTCACACAGGAATAACCACTCTGCATTCTATGAATACACTATGCACTTGCACACTTTCACGTCTTTGAACTCTTTCCCCTACAGTATCTGTCCCTTCTCTCTACTAAAACTCTACTTATCTTTGAAGACGAACTTAACTATCACTTCCTGTCATAGATTGGATTGTGTTTCCAAAAAAGATATGTTGAAATCCTAACCCTTATACCCATGAATGTGACCTTATTTGTGGAAATGGAGTCTTTCTTTGAGATTATTATCAGTTAAATCATACTGGAGTAGGTTGGGTCCTAGTCCTCATCCCCTTCTGAGTAGTGTCTTACAAAAGGGGAGAACAGACATGAAGACAGAGTCACACTCAAGAGAAAGACAGCATGTGAGGATCTGTCTACAAGCCAAGCAACGCCAAGAAACGGCCAGGCCCTAAAGGAGACTGGAGAAACCCCAACAGTATGGCCCCCAGACACCCTTTTAGCTCAGTGGTGAAGTCATCTCCGAGGTTCACCGTTCAGCCTGGGAGTGGACAGCCCCATAAAACCAAATGGGACTAATGAGGTATAGCAGTCCAGGGACAAGGGTCAGAATGCAGAAGGGGACAGGGAAGCTGGTGATAAGGAACCCAAGGTTGAGTAAGGATAGTGTTGATGTGTTGTGAGGTTGTTAACCATTGTCATAGGGCAACATGTGTACTAACCGTTAAATGAGAAACTATTTTGTTCTGTAAGCCTTCATCTAAAGTGAGAATAGCAGCACAATTGGAAGAGCATAGTCGATGTCACCGAACTGTGCATGTAGAAATTTTTGAAATGGTGTATCTTTGGCTATGTATATTTTCACCAAAAAAAAAAGGTCAAGAAGGGAGAGGGTTGACATGTCGTGGGGTTGTTAACCAATGTCATAAAACAATATGTGTACTACTGTTTCATGAGAAACTATTTGTTCTGTAAGCCTTCACCTGAAGTACAATTAAAAAAAAAAGAAAAGAAAACTAAAAAAAAAATAGAAAAGAAAAGAAATGGCCAGGCTACCAAAAGCTGAAAGAGACAAGGAAGGATCTTGCCTAGAGCTGATAGAGAGCATAGCCTGATAACTGAATTCAGACATCCAGCCTCTAGGACTGTGAGATATTAAATTCCTGTTCTTAAAAGCCACCCACTTTGTGATTATTTTGTTATGGCAGCCCCAGAAAATTAAGCCACCTCCCCGGTAAAATCCTCCCCTTATCTAGAATTTATCACTGCTCTCCTTGTACTCCCATAGCACTCTATTTGCTCAATACGTCTATTATAGCATGTATAGACTTACAGTATGAGAAAGTATTTGAATATCTGTCTCCGAGTCGATTCCGACTCATAGCGACCCTAGAAGATGGAGTAGAACTGCCCCATAGAGTTTTCCAGGAGCAGCTGGTGGATTCAAACTGCTGACCTTTTGGTTAGTAGCCGAGCTCTTAACTACTGAGCCACCGAGTCTCCCCCTCCCCCTCCCCATTCATTATGAGCCATTTAAGATCAGGAACCACGTATTATTCATACCTTCACCCCAACCTTCAGGTCCTCATATACAATAGGCATTCAATAATACCTGTCGAGTTTAATGGAACTAATTTGAATCAAGGAAGCTTCAAAGGATAGGAAGAGACCCCAAAACAATGTCCATTGTTCCTTGAAATCTGTTCATACCAGAACTTAATCAACCTAAGTCCTGTAAGATTCAGAATGTTCTCAGGTAAAACGTTACTCTGCAACAGATGTTTCTACCCACGGGCATGCCCTCGGGTTATTACTTTTTGTTTCTCAAAATTCAAGTTGTCTCGCAAAAAATCTCCAGAAACCAGCTCCCCCTCCAGGTGTGTCACTTGAGCCTGAAGAGTCTCCAACTTGTTCTCCGCTTTCTGGGCCCTCTGTAGAGCTTTCTGGTGCAGCTCAGTCTCATTCCCCAACTGTTCAACAAGCTTAGATATTTGGGCTTCAAGCTGGGAGACCATCTGGGAACAAAGAGAAACAGAACACGGATAAGCCTTGTTTTAGATGCAACGAAGTGTTAAAATCTAGCACTCAGCCCAGGCAGCGTAACTATTTATAACACCAACTTCTAGAATCTTTGTAAAAATTAAATAAAAAATAAGTAATTGACAGCAGTATTTGCCTCCATTTGAAAGAAATCTACTTTCATTTAATTAACTTTCATATAACTCCTTAAACAAGTTAATTGGTAAATATTTATGGGTAACATTTACTTACCTCAAAAATTGCCATTAATTTAGGAGCTTCAAGGCTCAGCTGGAAAAAGAGTTTAGACAAAAAGTACTTTTAAAAACCTACAAAAACCTCATTACCCAAAGAAACTTTCACCACATACATTTGATTACAGATATACAGTAAATTAGTCTTGATAAGCAACCTAGAAGCCTTATGGGAAATTCTAGTGCAGAAACATGTTTTTCAAGCTGTTTTTTCAAATTTCTATTGAGTATTGGATACTTACGTACTAAACTTACTTACGGCACTGCGCGCTACATTAAAAAAAAAAAAAAAAAAAAAAAAAAAACATTGCCGTGGAGTCGAATCTGACTGATCGTGGCCCTGTAGGAGAGAGTAAAACTGCCCCATAAGGTTTCCAAGGAGTGGCTGATGCATTTGAACTGCCAACCTTTTGGCTAGCAGCTGAGCTCTTCACTTCTGTGCCCCAACGGCTCCTCCTCTCAAATGCTGAGAAGAGACGTTATTACACAACTATGTGCTAGTTGTCTAATAATGTTATCACTTCTCAGCATTTGAAAGGTCAAAATCCCTTTAATATGGGCAACTCTAAATAGGGCAGTGGTATCTTATAAGATAGGAGGGAGCCCCGGTGGTGCAATGGTTAAATGCTCAGCTGCTAACCAGAAGGTTAGTGGTTGGAACCTACCAGCAGCTCTGCAACAATCTTTCAAGGCAGGGGGATCTGATTGCTACCTCCTCTTCTAGGCATAAAATTATTGTCCCTCCAATAAAGGCCCTCAGAGTTCTTCACAACCCCCCTAACTTGTCCAATGCTCCCATTTCTTTCCTGAAGTTTCTCTCTTTGTCTTGACCTTCTCCTTAAACCAAGGGCAACAAAAGTTGACCAAAGACCTCAGGTACACTTTGAGAATGCAAATCGGTTCCACTAAATCCGGTTCTTATAAAATGTTGAATTCAATAAAATCACCAAGTTTGGGGTGATGAATTTGTTTTGTTTTTATGGTTGATTCTGGAAGAGGGCAGGAAGAGAGTGGTAAATATCTCCATAACACTACAGTACCATTTTTGCAGACATGGAAACTTCTGAACTGTTTCAGATTTACAGTGTATGTTTTTAAAAAGATAATTACGGTTTATCTATAAACAACCATGGTTAGAGGCAAGAAGACATTCTAAAACCAAACGCATTGCAGCTGAGTCAATTCCAACTCATTGCAACCCTATAGGGCAGAGTAGAACTGCCCCATAGGGTTTCCAAAGCTGTAATCTGGTGGCGCAGTGGTTAAAAGGGTTGACTGCTAACCGAAAGTTCAGCCGTTCGAAACCACCAGTGGCTGCTTGGGAGAATGATGTGGCAGTCAGCTTCCATACAGATTTACAGCCTTGGAAACCCTATGGCATTGCTATGAGTCAGAATCAACTCAACAGCAGTGGGTTAATCTTTACAGAAGCAGACTGTCACATCTTTTTCCCGTGGAGCGGCTAGTGAGTTTGAACTGCCAGTCTTTCAATTAGCGGCCAAGCGTTTAACCACTGCACCACCAGGGCTCCTCTAGAAGGCGTTCTAGCTGTCTTCAAATTTTCTGAAAGATTATTCTGGGGAAGAACAATGTGATTTGTTCTGTGTTGCCCTCAGAACTCAGGTTTAGGACAAATAGGTATAAATCAGAGAAGGAATTCCACATCAATATAAAGGAGAATTTTCTCCCTGCCCCCATAATTATAAAAGTCACACATTTCCATTGTAAAATATTCAGTAAAGACACAAAAAATGTAAATAAGCAAAAATAATCACCCAAGATCCCACTACCCAAAGGCGGCAATAATTAATATTTTTAAATAGTTTATTATAGGTTTTTATGCACTGTTAAATTAGAGTGGAGATGATACACTGTATAGACAACTTTGAGTCTTTGTTTTTACTTAATTATATTTTGAGCATCTTCCCATGTCAAACTCTAACATTTTAATGGCTACATTATGAGTCCATCATGAGAATGCACTATAATGTACATAAGCATTCCTTTATGTTCATAAGGAAGGAAAAACTTTCTAATAATTGTTGTTTGCTGTTAGCTGTCCTAGAATCAGCTCCAACTCATGACGACCCCATGTACAACAAAACAAAATGTTGCCCGGTCCTGCACCACCTTCACAAATCGTTGGTATACGCTGTCTATTTTTGTGGCCACTGTGTATTTTGAGTGTTTTCCAACCCAGGGGGCTTATCTTCCAGAACTATATCAGACAATATTCTACTGTGATCCATAAGGTTTTCAGTGGCTAATTTTCAGAAGTAGATCATCAGCCCTTTCTTCCTAGTCTGTCTTAGTCTGGAAGCTCTGCTGAAACTTGTCCACCATGGTTGACCCTGCTAGTATTTGAAATACTGGTAACATAGCTTCCAGCATCATAACAACATGCAAGCCTCCACAGTACAACAAACTGACAGACAGGAGGTGGTTCTAATAAAAATTGTGGTTGTTGTCTAAATGTACTGTCCAGCAGGTCCTTGTCATTGGAGATGGTCAGAAATCGGCCAATCATTTGTCAAGCATGTTGCACTGAATGGGAAAAGTTAGACTAAATGATCTTTAAACTTTCTAATTCTGTGTTTCTACAGCTCTGACGGTTCGATTAATTCCATACTTCTGTGGATACCTGAAACCAGATGTTTGATGGTAAGCTGCTTCAGAGACATGTGCAAGAGATTGTTTCCCAAAGAAATTTTGAACATCATTATTGAATCTGAGGCTTGAGAATGCTCATGTTGTATTTCCTACCCTTAGTACCTACTACCTGATAATCTGATCTTAATGCAAAAGAAAGGATTGGTTTGTCTTAGTACAACTACAAGGTAACTGACGGAACATGGCCAAGAAAAAATATCCACATGATGCTGCCTCCTGGTGGCAGCTTTAATGCAATTATACAAGGCATAGTATGTTTCTACACAATAAGAGATCTCTTTCCCACTGGACTCCAAGTAGGAAGTGGGTCTTTCTGCCTCAGCAGGCTTCAACACTTCCCCTAGCCCACAGTTAGCCTAGGAAAGAGAATGGAACCAAAGAGAAAAAAAGACACAGAAAACCTCAACTGGAGAGATGGAGAACTGTGCAATCACATAGCCACAGTCAGCACTCTGCACACCTAACTGGAGAAAGCAAAGTCTTCCATAGTAAAGACTCCATTCTGAAAATGACAACTTGAACAACTGCAATAAGTTCGACTAAGGTAGTTATAATGACCCCTGTGAAGGTTAATTTTGTGTGTCAACTTGGCTGGGTTATGGTGCCAGAAAGAATTGGTTGATGTTCAACCATTTCAGGAGGTAGCATATGATCAAGAACCAATGATACTGAAGGAAAAAGTCCAAGCTGCACTGAAGGCACTGGCGAAAAACAAGACTCCAGGAATTCACAAAATACCAACTGAGATGTTTCAACAAATGGATGCAGCACTGAAGGTGCTACCTGGTCAACCTACAGAAAGAGATCCATATTTGTGCCCATTACAAAGAAAGGTGATCCAACAGAATGTGGAAATTATCAAGCAATATCATTAATATCACACACAAGTAAAATTTTTGCTGAAGATCATTCAAAAAACAGTTGCAGCAGTGTATCAACAGGGAACTGCCAGAAATTCAAGCCAGATTCAGAAGAGGACGTGGAACGAGGGATATCATTGCTGATGTCAGATGGATCCCAGGTGAAAGCAGAGAATACCAGAAAGATGTTTAACTGTGTTTAATTGACTATGCAAAGGCATTCAACTGTGTGGATCATAACAAATTATAAATAACATTGCGAAGAATGGGAATTCCAGAACACTTAAGTGTGCTCATGAGGAACCTGTACGTAGAACAAGAGGCAGTCCTTTGAACAGAACAAGGGGATACTGCATGGTTTAAAATCAGGAAAGGTGTGTGTCAGGGTTGTATCCTTTCACCACACTTGCTCAATCGGTATGTTGAGCAAATAATTCAAGAAGCTGGAGTATATGAAGAACACAGCGTCGGGATTGGGGGAAGACTCATTGACAACTTGCGTTATGCAGATGACACAACCTTGCTTGCTAAAAGTGAAGAGGACTTGAAGCATTTACTAATGAAGATCAAAGAGTACAGCTTCAGTATGGATTACACCTCAATATAAAGAAAATAAAAGTCCTCACAACTGGACCAATAAGCAACATCATGATGAACAGAGGAAAGACTGAAGTTATCAAGGATTTCATTTTACTTGGATCCACAATCAACACCCATGGAAGCACCAGTCAAGAAATCAAACGACACATTGCTTTGGGGAAATCTGCTGCAAAAGACTTCTTTAAGGTGCTGAAAAGCAAAGATGTCACTTTGAGAACTAAGGTGCAACTGATCCAAGCCATGATATTTTCAGTCGCCTCACATGCGGGCGAAAGCTGGACAATGAATAAGGAAGAGTGAAGAACTGATGCCTCTGAATTATGGTGTTGGCAAAGAATATTGAATACACCATGGTCTGCCAGAAGAAAAAACAAGTCTGTTTTGGAAGAAGTACATCCAGAGTGCTCCTTGGAAGCAAAGATGGTGAGAGTTCATCTCACATACTTTGGACATGACATCAGGAGGGTCCAGTCCCTGGAGAAGGACATCATGCTTGGTAAGGTAGAGGGTCCCCAAAAAAGAGGAAGACCCTCAAGGAGATGGATTGACACAGTGGCTGCAACAATGGGCTCAAACATAGCAACGATTGTGAGGATGGTGCAGGACTGCGGA